AGTTTAATTTGACCATCAAACCATTTAGAATGTTTTAGGTCCATTGATTTTCTCACATTTGTTGATGGTGGGATTAAACCCTCAAATAAACTCCTCTCTCTCTGCAAATACAAAACTAAGTAAACCTTCACCATAACTTTTCCATGGGTTAAATCCTCCATGTGCTCAGTCTAGGTTTTTTTCTTTCTTTTTTATTCTAATGGACTATTAACCAAGTGCTCATTCAGCCAGACAGTATTAAGTGAATCAAATATGAGCATAAAATCCAACTTTTTTTTGGTTACATTGGAGGAAAGAAACCCCTTGGGGTTTCGAGCTGGATGCCATGGGGGAGGGGGAAAGAAACCCCACGTTCATTCTAAGCAGAAGTTACTATTCTGAGCAAAAGATTAATCAACTTTTCAGAACCAAAACAAAAAGAATCATATTTGTGGGTACATACAATACAAGTGCACTATATCAAAATATTGCTCACATGCCACGGCATGCACAAGCTCCAGAGTTGTGTATTCTTCCGAGTTTTCATAACATTTTATCTACGATGACTGCAGTATCTTCTTGTAGTCCTCAAAAGAGCCATGGAATGGTGCTATCCTACCCTCTGATACCACCCACAGCTCATCCACACTTCCAGAGATAAGATGCTCATCGTGACTAACCTGTAAGTAATAATAACACACGCCTAGTTATGCACAAACCACAAACAAACAAAGATAAATCAACTTTTGTTGCGAATAGAAATCGTGACGAGATCGGTATAATGTACCATGAGAATGCCTCCTTGGAAGATAACAAGACCTTGTATTAGTGCCTCCACAGCATCCAAGTCCTACATGTCAACAACCATTGCAAGGTGAATAAATCAACAATCAGTCAAGGTGGAGAAAGTTCTAAGTCCAGAATACCGTTCTTCAAAATATTAAAATAATGAGAAGGATCATGACTAACCAGATGATTGGAGGGCTCGTCAAGCAATATTATGTGTGGTTTCTTGAAAGTTATCTTGGCAAAAGCAACTCTGCTCTTTTGACCACCTAATACATGATGCAACAATAAAAAATAGATCCCATTTAAGCATTTAGAGAATAATGCTAAAATCCATATAGATCAAGAAAATCAACTAATATCTTTCAAGTATTGACAATATGGAATAAAGAAAATACCAGATAAAGTGTACATTGGCTGAAGTGCTAGATTTCCAGTTACACCAAAAGAACCTAAGTGAGATCGGAGCTTTTGTTCAGGCACTCCCTGCAAGAAGGATACTTTATTATTTTACATTTAAAAAAAGAACAATAAAAAGGCATCCCTTAATAGTAAAAGCATGGCACTTCTAAATAACAAGATTATCTGCCAAAACGAGATTAAAATTACAAAGGGTTTATCCATCTAGGGTCAGATAAGGCTGAGGCCTTGAACAACATTTTCACCTAAACTTGGGTCTACCAATGGAAACTTGTTCATGTGGTCAAAATGACTAACAGTTTTGGTACCAATTCCCAAGTCTAGTTCAATGATGCAGTAGATAGGAAAAGGGGAAAATATCATGTTTAGATTGGAAATATCAGCAGATGAGGTCCATGGATTATATTCTAGTTTTAAAGCAAAATTATCCTAACCCGGGTATGGAAATTCAAAAGGGTTTGATTGCAGGATCCTATCCTGGATTCTCATGCATACATAAAGAACTTCAAAAGCAACTCACAGATACCACCCTTCAAAACATGAAAAGATAAATATAACATATAAAGGGAAAAAAGAAGAAGGTAATAGCAAGGACTCACCGGGTAGCATCGCATCATATACAATAGGGGATTAGAAGATAAATCTAGCCCGTCAACATGGTGCTGACTGAATACAGCAATCCGAACCTGTAGAAATATAAGTCCCCCTTGAGATTCAAGCATATAACGTAACTCCAACTTTGCAAGGAGATACAAAGGCCAAATAGCAGTTACTTTACGTTCTAACACAAGGCACATAATGCAGAATACAAGTATTTGCATAAATAAATAATGATAACTATAACCAAATTAACTTGGTGGACAGTGAGATGTTAGTTAAAATTATCCAGTATAGGTAATCCCGCAAAATATGCAAGATACCTTAGCCGAACGGAAAATTGTCCCAGAGATTGGTTGTAGCTCCCCTGCAATTAGCTTGAGTATTGTTGATTTACCAATGCCATTTGGCCCAACCACTGCATAACAATTTTGACACCACATATACAAGGTGAATCATATGTAAACCATCAAGTACGGAACCTTTTCAAATAGAAAAAGATTAAACTAGCATACTTACTTGCTATGCGGCTGTCAAGGTCAATTCCAAAATTTAAATTCTTAAACAAAACGGGCCCCCCAGGATAACCAAAAGATGCATCACTGCAACACATACATCAGAAAGATCCAATAAGCACTTGATCTAAGCAATGAAAACAGAATAAACTTGAAAATAGAAAAGAACACAAACAAAGGATCTCAGGTGACTTGCAAAAACCAAAGAGGGAGCCGACCTGAAACTTATTATAGGAGGACCAGGTCTGTCGTCTGGAGTTGGGAACTCAAATTTATAGCTGCATATGAAAGGCCAGAGTTTATAAAGATAGAAAGAAAAAGCAGAAATGTTTCTAGAAGCTCCTATCCATATAAGCCACAAAAACAAATCGGTGCATACTCAGGGTCATTTACAATCTCGTCCACATGTCCCAACCGGTCCAATGCCTAAATCAAAGTAAAGAAGGAATATCAGTTATATTAAGATTATTTGTACATGAAAAAGTTGTCTAAATCAAAATTTTATTAACAGCCAAGAAAGCAGAATTCAGAGATGTTTACAGTTGTTAGAAATGGTTTCAGGAACATGCAAAAATACAATAAAAATCACCTTAATTCTTGATTGAACAAGTGCGGCCCTCTTTGCATTGTAACGGAACTTATCAATAAAAGTCTGCAGATCAGAGTAAAACATGTGAATGCCAAACACAAGTTACTGTAATTCAAAAAAACATGCCATTGAGAGAGGAGCAAGATGACAAAAGAAGATCAAGAAGAAGAGAGAGTACTTTAACATCTACAAGACATGATTCTATCCTTATTATTTAAACAGAAAGCTACATGCAGAAAATTTGAAAATAAAACGAGAAAATATGTCCATATATCTAAAAATGAAGTTGACTAGGAAAATCAAATTAGTAATTATTGGTAGAAGCAAACAAAGGCTAACAACCCTTGGTACCTTTGCCAAAGCAATAAGGAGACAAAAACACAAAAAAGTCATATAGGTGGTCAGCAGAATTAAGTTGAACAGCTGTAGACATCAAGAAAATAAGAAATAGAATAATAGAATAATTTTTTCATTAAGATAAGATGAAAAACCTGCATATGTGCTCTTGAACGCTCATTGGACTCAAAAGCTTTCTGTTGGTTCTTGACCTGTTCAATTCGTGTCCTCTCATATATATCATAGTTCCCCTTGTAGGCATTTAATTTTTGCCCATGAAGATGAAGGATATCAGTGACCACCTGAAAATACAGAGCATAGAATGAGGTATACTAAAGGACAGTGCACGTGTTACATAAACTATACTCATTAATACTGTTGTTGATATGACCAAATGAGAAACTAAAGCACACAAGCACGTTACCGTGTTCAAGAATTCTCTAGCATGAGAAACAACTATACATGTTTTCGGCCACTTCACCAGGTAAGTCTCCAGCCAGAGGACAGCATGAAGATCAAGATGGTTCTGGAAAAATAAAAAAGGACATGAGGCGGAAAAATGAAAACCAGGCACACAGAATAATATGAAAAGCCTAAAGGGGTATATGAACAACAGACCGTGGGTTCATCAAGTAGTAACAAATCAGGCTCTATAAACAGGGCACGAGCAAGAGCTATTCGCATTCTCCATCCTCCAGAAAATGCTTTAGTTGCTTTTCGCTGCATCTCCGGAGAGAAACTAAGACCCTGTAAAATTAGGATAGTAATTCAGAAAAATGAACCAGCTGACAAGCAACAGTGTAGGTAAAGGCACAACTTCCTTTCTCAGCTTAGAGGAAATTCACTGCATCACACATGCACACATCCAAATGTACCTGAATGTCATGTTTAAGTGCCAGCAGGTAGAATTTTCTGTTTCATTTGTTAGTATTGGTGGTTCAGTGATTTATACCATTATTGATAGGTTCAGCATAACAGCAGAGAAATTCAACCTAGAATGAGATTGCATTTTCAACTTATTACCCCATTTCTTTCTGTTACTATTTATTCTAATTTTTGGAGAGTTGAAGCCAGCCCTAAACATCATAAATTTTCATGTCAAAAACCAAGCTTAATTCATGTAGAGACTTAGATGATTGTTGCAGAAATGAATGGAGTACTGACTGCAAGAATGGAAGCTGCACGTGACTCTGCGGAATCAGCATCTATGAACTCAAGCCTTTTGTATATCTCCTGAAGCCTCCGTCCAATAGCATCTTTGTCAATTGCCCCATTGCTCGTTTCTGTTGATTCCTCAAACTCCAGTTCTCTCTTCACGTTATAATAATTTATTTAGCACAAGAAAGGAACATGTAAACATTAATCCATCAAGAACTTCTTCTTTTTTTGTATAAAAGAAGAAGACTGAAAAGCTAAACTCTCCTCTAATTAAAAACAATATGGTATTCAACCTGTTTAGCGAGGAGACGAGCTTCTTCTTCCATAAGCTGAGTTCTTTCAACATCAGTGTTCAGAACACATTGCAAGGCTGATGTGTCATCACCCACCACTTCTTGCTCCACATGCAATATTTGGAAGTTCTTAGGAATGCCATCAATGGCATGCATAGCCAAGTGCCTAAGAAATGTTGTTTTCCCTGTACCATTTCTTCCAACAAGGCCTGCATGAATTGAGGCACAATCTATTATGTCAAATGCCAACTGAAAATTATTATTACAACTACAACATTATTCAACAACCTCAGAGATAAGAAACTCCATGTACCACAAACTCACTATTGGGAACTCTAACAAAAGGCCCTCTCAACCAAATCAAGAGCATCTTAATCCATGAAAAGCAAACTCACCATAATGCCTTCCAAAAGAAAGTGTTACTGAACCATCCACAATTAGATCGCGGCCACCCACAGAAACATTGAAGTTCTCCAGACGGATATCCTTGACATTTGGCCCACCAATGCTTTCATGATTTACAGATA